ACTTTCCAATAATAATCTTTTAAATCTTAGCACTGATCACACATGATGCTACTGTCCAGTACTAATCTTTAAAATCATACCACTGACCACACATGGTGCTACTTTCCAATAATAATCTTTTAAATCTTAGCACTGATCACACATGATGCTACTGTCCAGTACTAATCTTTAAAATCATACCACTGACCACACATGGTGCTACTTTCCAATAATAATCTTTTAAATCTTAGCACTGATCACACATGATGCTACTGTCCAGTACTAATCTTTAAAATCATACCACTGACCACACATGGTGCTACTTTCCAATAATAATCTTTTAAATCTTAGCACTGATCACACATGATGCTACTGTCCAGTACTAATCTTTAAAATCATACCACTGACCACACATGGTGCTACTTTCCAATACTAATCTTTTAAATCTTAGCACTGATCACACATGATGCTACTGTCCAGTACTAATCTTTAAAATCATACCACTGACCACACATGGTGCTACTTTCCAATACTAATATTTTAAATCTTGGCACTGATCACACATGATGCTTCTGTCCAGTACTAATCTTTAAAATCATACCACTGACCACACATGATAATTATAAGGAATGGTCATTTTATCTATCCCCCATCTCCCGAAAGTATGTGCCTGTCCATGATCAGTCATAAATATGTGAAATTGAGGGGCTTAGGAAAAGGGGGGAAGGGGGTACTTTTCTTTCTTATATTTAGGGGCAGCATTTGGAACAACTGCAAGAGTTTTTTAAAATCTTAAAAAACATTTTTTGGACAGCCCTGGGCGACACACTAAATTGAAAAAAAAAGTAAAAAAATTAATTAATAATTAATGACATTATATTATATTAGTCTACTTTAGTCGGGCTGCTTTCATTTTCACAATCGGTTTGCAGTTTCTCTTGGACGTCACACAGCACGATATGATTAATTTGTTCGGCCACTGTTTGCGGGAGAACGTTTTTAAAAAAATCTAAACACGTTCCCCTTCGTTCATTTGTTTAATTCTTTCAGGTTTTCTTTTTTCATGTATAAATGTCCTCTAGAAACAATCAACTACGAGAAACACATTTGGTAGAGCTGAGAGCAATCAAGATACAAATTACATAAAACAATTTTTTTAAAATACTGAAAGAAAGAAAAAAAACATCTTTGAGATTGAATTTCTCTTATTTTATAAACAACAGACTATAAGACGTTTAAATGATTTTAATATAAAATGATTCAAAATAAAGTCATGAAGTTTTTTAAAATGTAGGAAGGCCCTTTGCATAAAAATGAGTGTAAATAGGCCTATCCTGTAATTTATAAAAAAAAATAAAGTTTGGTAATGCAATTATAATTATTCCCAAAAGCAAAGGACCTACCTATTTTTTCCCTGAGTAGAAAAATTGTAATTACATTTTCATTTTCAGTAGAGTGAAAATATGACATACTTTATACAATTTATAAAAATAATAAAATATTACAGAGCCCAAGTCAATAGTTTTCTCAACTATTGGGAAACATAATAGAACAGTTGAAAACATATTTAAAGAAATCCCAATCTCAACATAGTTATCCTGTATCAATAAGACATGCTCTTGTGAATTTAATCAAAACTTCAGTGCAAAATCCCCTGATCACAATACTTTCAAGCAGAGCTAAACCCAAAACTTAAAAAAAAAACACAAATAGTTATTAATTAACAGCCTGGAATGTTATTCTGTACAGAAATATCAAAATGAACATTTATTTAGTCAGGAGAAAGATGGACCACCTGCGATTTGAGTAATTTCATGGTAGCCCATTTATACATTTATGGTAATTTAGGCTTCAGTAATATCTTTTGCCAGCTAATACTGCCATTATGGCAAAAACTGTTTATACAGGTACGGTACTTTAGTAATTATTTTTTGCCAGCTAATACTACCTTTCTAATGGACCTGATATCCCAGTGCTAATGAAACAAACTTTATGACTGATCTCACATCTATACATGACAACTCTCAGGTGTAAAAAAAATTTATTTTTTTATATTAAACTTGTAAAAATAGACTTTAGCAATAACATGAATGATAATGTCCCAGTAATATTAATAATGACGTTTAAGTAAAAAGATATCATGTGTGCTTAAAACAGTGTGTATTATACTAATTACAAAACTATTTAAAATACTTTTTTTTTTCCTTTCTCAATGGGTTGCAGCTTTCTTCAAATGCTGAAGAAAATCTGGCCCAATTTTAAGTGGGGGTGGAGAGGTGTGCCCAAAATGCTTGTTTTGAATGCTGAAGAAAATCTGGCCCAATTTTAAGTGGGGGTGGAGAGCTGTGCCCAAAATGCTTGTTTTGAATGCTGAAGAAAATCTGGCCCAATTTTAAGTGGGGGTGGAGAGCTGTGCCCAAAATGCTTGTTTTGAATGCTGAAGAAAATCTGGCCCAATTTTAAGTGGGGGTGGAGAGCTGTGCCCAAAATGCTTGTTTTGAATGCTGAAGAAAATCTGGCCCAATTTTAAGTGGGGGTGGAGAGCTGTGCCCAAAATGCTTGTTTTGATTATTCCATGAATACATTTTATGGCAATAAGGAATAGATACTGTCACCAGTGCTAAGGCAAAGAGGGATTTAGCAATTCTAGTATGGATTATTAAATGATAGGGTTAATAAATTTAAAAAAAAATCTTTTTATTAGTCACCACTATGAGAAAATACTTGGCAATTTATAAACAGACTACCAAAATATGATTTTATATAGGATTTAATTGTATAACAGAAAAATGAATATGTTCACTTAAAAAAAAATATAAGGATATAACATAACAAGATGCAAACATAATCGGCTGTTTGAAGAGAATAAAGAAGAATTTAAAACTTAAAATGTGACAGGTTATTTTTGCTGACCATCCTTGAAAAGTGTCTAAACATGAAGAGCTGAAATACTCATTGCAACAAGACAATGGTACAACATTAGAATGAAATTATGTTAACATATGTTAAGATCTCTATCCATGAGTATTAGTTAAGTCAAAATCAAAATATACTAAGAGTGAGATAACAGATCAGACGTATCGTTAAGTTTTAATTCAAAAACTGTCAAAAGAAAAATTTAAAACTTTAAATTAAAGTAATTCTATTTAATATTTATAAAAAAAATTGTTAAATTAAAATAAAAGATGAATCTCCAGTAGCAATAGATATATACCAATTTGTAAAAAACAGATAGTAATTAAAAAAATAAATAATATAAATGCATATATTAATAATATACAAATTTGATAATATAAATATTCTTAAACATAATTCAGAAAAACAGAAGCTGCTTCATTAAATTGAAGGTTCATTTCTGTCTTGGACAAAATTGTCTTTAAAAAAAATTATTGAAGTTTTATGAAGCCTTAAAAAATGAACTGGCAAAATTAATAATGATTATTACCAGTTTCATACAAGATTTGAAAGACATGTCACAGTATTCTCATGATTCTGTGCAACTTATGTAAATGCTTACAAATAATATTCATAAGTTATAAAAAAAAAGAAGCTTAAAACAATTTTTTTAAAGTTTTCTGTGATGTGAAGTTAAGTTTACATTGATGTAATTATATGCCCATAGTTGATGAATCCTTTTGACTATTGAGTGAAGCCGATAATTATGAAATTATATGTCTCAAAAAGTTAAAATAAAGAAATGCAAACTTCCAAGTTATAATTTTAAAAAATACAGACATTTTGCACGCAATAATAATTATGAAATAGAGTCAATATCTCAAAATAGCACATAGGTTAGGCACTACCATCGCATGGTTGGTGTAATATTTTGTTTATCTGTCAGATTTGAATAAAATGATACATCTTAATGAAGGTCATTAGCAGGAGGAAGAAAGGAATGCAATTTAGCAGTTCAATTTATTGAATTGTTTACCCAAAAATATTCATTCTAGCTCTGATTTCAAATCATAGTTTGTAGAGAAATTTATTTGGAGAGATTTTAAATTTAAATTAAAGCCTCAGTATTAGGATATAAAAGAAAAAAACAAAAACAACCCCAGAGCATTATTCCTGCAGCCACACTCTAGTAGTTCAACATTTTTTTTTACACATCTGTCATGGGCACTTTCTGTAATATTGGTGGCATTTAAAGGAATAGATATCAGTTATAAATTATTAGTTATCAAACATCACTTAATTTCTTATTTCAGGGATTAGTGAATCATTAATGCCTTCCTTTCTTTCCCAGAGTACGCCACACTTGCTTTATCTTACACTCTTGCAAACAGATAATTAGCACATGATGGAAGTGGATCAGTTGAGAACATGCTTTTAGGAAAGAATTCTCTTCTGGAAAAACAGGAGCATTTTCATCTCCAAGGTCATCAGACCCGTGTTATGAACCTCTGGAGTCTCCACTATGCAGGCCAGCTCCCACCCTTTGTTGCCCATGTCCTGACATGAAGAGATGTGCATGATTATTTAAAAACAAAACTGTGCTTTCAATGCAAACATTAAGTTGAATAATCTCATTGTTGCACCTCAAACTTAAAAAATCAAAAAAATCATGTGAGTTTTCTAATGACATTTCAAAATTTAAAAAAATTGATCAATGTTAACAATGCAATTAATGTTTTTTGGTTAAAATAAAAAAATACATAAAAAAAATGTGAATGACAAAATGCCGACCTGCATTACTGGCTCCCACTTAGTTGATACTCTAGTGTCAGAAAATCCAGAGGGCGTTACTTTTATATAATGCTCTACTATTGTTCCCTGGTAAACTGGAGTTTCGTCGTTGATTTTTGAATTGGGTTTCTCAAAAAACCACAGGCAGTTTGAGCGCACTTCATTCTTGAATACCTACGAGGTATATATAAAGGTTTAAATATACAAGAAAATTATACCAACGTGGATAAAATAAATTACTACCTTAACACTACACTATGAGTTGTTTTTTACCACAAAAGATAGCATCAAGAAATACCCTGATCAAGATGCCTAGTCTAACAAGAGAGATTTATTTCATCAGTTTCATTTGGCTCTGCATACACACTTTTGATTGTGACAAACTATTTTTGTGGAGGAAATACTGCAGAGCAGATGTGTTTGGTGCAGAACGCACATAAGTAAGGAGTATATGATCTGAAATGAAGTAAATATCTCTCACTCTATTAATTAACTGAATTTTAATTAAATAAACTAGGATGGCATTATACTTACAAATACAAACCCCTAATGAATTTAAATTGAACTATACCAACCTCTTTAATTTTTGATGCGTCAACAAAAATTTCAATGAGCTTAAATCCTCTGTTGAGGTGTTGACTGAATATCCCTATCCAATCGCAGAAAACTCTTGGATCTGATGCAAAACCATATTTTGTAATTACAGGTACGGATACAACATTGTAAACATAAGTCTCACTCTCAGCATCCAAGGGCACTTCGAAGAACAGGTCTACTCCATACACTGTGAGAAAGCATATAAAATATTAGCAAAATTTCACATTCTAAATTTTGTCTATGTGCTTACACATGATTAAATTACAACAGAGATAAGTGGCTTAGTAAAATTTCTATTGGACAACAAGCTTAAAACAACTTTACCATTATGTGACTTTTCATTTAAAACCTTGTTTAGTGACTCAGAAAAGAAAACAATAAAAATACAACAACAAAAAATCCCACCTGGCAGTTTTGGTGTGAAGCTAAAAGAAGCTTTAACTTCTTCCTGCCCAGTAAGTTCAATGCAAATCAAACGAGCACCACTTTGAGCCATGTTGGCAATAGTTTGATTCAAATGAGTGGTGTCCGTGACAGTTTCATTACCATAGGTGATTAAACCATTCCAAATAATCCGAGGCTGAATAACAGATTTTTCAATACGCAATTGAAATCTTCCTCGCTGTGCAGTATCAGGATATTTACAAAAGATACCCTGAAAGGGCATCAGGACACCCATTGAAAATGCACCTTCTCTCCTGGCCTGAAAAAAGAAGCAAATTAAATTTATATTTCAAGTTGTCTTTCTCTGCGTCGTTGACATTTGTTTTCTTTAATGTATAGAACTAAACGTAGCAATGTCTGTTTTCAGTGACAAAACTTGTCAAGGCACCTTAATTGCAACTTTGTTCAAATGAATGCCTCACTTTCTAGTGAACTCATTATTTAACCACACTCTGGCGTATCTATATATAGCCTGCGTGGTGGTGTTTGATCTTTTATTATATATATATAGATAAGGCAAGCTACCTGATTTTCTATCTACCCTGCTAAAACATTACTAAATGTTTTACTGATCTGTCCACCTGGCTAACTCTCTTTGCCATCAAAATTATTAGAATTTCTTGTTTTAATTTAAATGACATGTATATATGTCATAAATGAATATTTAATGAGGATGCACAACATGTTGGATTTTGTAGTGATTGGTGCCTGCAATGGACTTTGAATATTCAACCAAAATAGTTGGCTGTATTCTAATTAGAGTAATGCCTTAAATCTAAATTTCAGACATTTTATCATTGAGATTATTTAAATCATTTTTAAAAACTTGCAAGTGAGATAAAGTTCATGTTTACAACCATGTTACCATGTTGCTATCTTCTGTACCTGCAGAATAACATCTGTGATGACATAATCATTAAGAAATAACTTATATGATTATTAAGGCAGGGATGTCAAGTCCGTTGGATCATCGGTCCTACAATGAAACAAACTTCATTTCAAATATTACAAAATTTAAGCTTCGTAGTTGGTCAACACTTCCCATTTTTGTAAACAAAGATTGAACACACCTGGTTAGTTCTGGTGATATTTTAAGCTTTTATAATCAGTTGAAAAAATAAGCTTGTTTGTAAAAATCTTGTAATCTGCTGTGCACAACCTTAACCCGGTATTTAAATTAGTACTGGGTATCTGAGGTAATCTTTATCAAGGGTTTTATGAACTACTAGAACTAGATAAATAGTTCTGACAAATTTTTAGGTTGCATTCTATTACATTGCATTGTGTATTATTTATGTATTTTTCTAATGAGGACATAAGCACAACAGATTTTCTACTGATAACATAAAACAAAGGACTGATGCAAATTAATATTTAAAGAATACTGTAATGTGTTGTGTTCTCATTGTGAACACATTGTAACGCATTGTCTTATTATTGTGGACAAGTGTTTATTGTGATGTCTTTTGATAACAATGCAATTACTCATCAAAATTTTGTTTTGAGGCTCCCTCCATCACTCATCACACACATAATTCTTACCTCCCTCCATAATGGAAATTCCAAGTCCTGTTGTTGCACGCTACATTTTTGTTATGTAATCACAGTATATCTACAATATCAAACAATATAACATATAATGCTGGCGCATTCTATACACAAGAATTATCTCAATAAGTCTAATAGCCAATATGCCTTTATGCAATAATAATTATGGAATATCTGCTGCTCTATCCATACAGCCGTGGTCGCACGATCGGCATGCTTTTTTTGTTCTTCCATTATAAGTCTCGTACCGTTCCAGATTCTTCAAATAACGTCCAATTACCCAGACGTTACATATACCTTATTACTACATTTGATTAATTACCTGCATAGGGATGTGATAAAAAGTGAGCAGTCTAAATCCCTGCTCATACTGCTGTGCAAGTAAAGGGTAATAGGTATCAACATTGCTGGTCAACATTTGGTTTGAAAGAAAATTAAATGCTCCATATACAGCCATTCTGACTTCAACATTTACAAACTGGTATTGAGCTTGTGGTCCTGTATAGGGTGGTTCTGGTTGAGCCGTTGTTATAACTTTCGGATGAGAATGGCCATTATTGTTTCCCATGGTGGATTTAAGATGATCAAATTTTGTTTATTCCTAAATTGAAGGAGAAAAAAAAAGTGATTTAATTTTTTAAAAACCATTCAAATGTTTAAAAAAAATTTGTGAAAGATAAGTACCTTGTATGAACATTTATATCCAACCTACCATTTTTACAGGACAAGTATAAATAAGAGCCAGAATGATCAATACATTGATCGTGGGCCCTTACTATATAGAAGAATAAAATAAAATGTCAGGACAAGGTTCCAAATACTGCTGACTGAAGTATTAACATCCCAAATAACCCAATATCTTTTGCTATCTTGATGTAGTCCTATCAATGCTGGGTGGTAAATGTTGAGAAACATATCAGACTTCTGGCTGCCAATGAGGATTGACGGAGCCTCTTGGTGCTCTTAGTTTATTTAACAAATTCAAGGCAAACAACATTAAAACTTTCTCGTTGAAATGAAACTGTTAGCACTATACCATATTATATAAGTACACATTTTCAAATCATTCATTCTTGTCTGTTTCAGTATAAATATATAATAATTAATATAAATAATAGAATATATAATATATACTTATAGCCATGCTCCCTTTTTAATGGCTACTGACCCTGTAAAAGGCATCTTTTAAATTAATATTAATAATTATACATATAATTTAATATATAATTTTATAATAATGATATATAAAATTTATTATAATTATAATGAAATGATGTGTATTTACTTAATTTAACATTAATTGAGTTCCATTGACTTATTGATTGTAATATTTCCATATCCCCGAGGTTATCAACCTTCATAACTAGCCACTGATTACACTCAAAAGTGCCACTCTGCATTAAACTGACCATTGTTAAATTTAAATTAATCCAATTAATTATTAATGCTATTAGGCTTAGGCCCTATATGTTTATCATTACTTTTATTATGACTATGACTATAGATATAGAGACATAGACTATGACTATGAGTACTACTATGACTTAAATGACTATGATTCATGATCATTATCCTTCTTAATTTCACACAATTGAACAGTTTAAACCGTCATTCGTGTATATCAATGACATCATTATATTCAAATGAACCCCCTGAATTTATTTTGCCACTAACTATAACTACAAGCTAATTAACTTACTGACGTAGCTCTCTTTAAACAATAATCTAAATAAATGTCATTTAAATGGGTGGCCCCTTCTTATGCGTCATTACCTGTACCGAAATCCCAGATATATTTGAGATGCATACTTTCCAACACTTTTTGGGGGAAGGGTCATTTTAAATAAGCTGACTAAATTATTATTTTAATAATATTTAAAATGTACAATCCAAAACAATATGAATAAAATACAATTTTATAATTGAAGATGGCCGGAAATGTCAACTCTAAGTACAAAGCAAAAAGTGACACCGAAGGCAGACACCCCCCCCCCCCCAAAACCCCCTTTAATCCCAGATATATTTGAGATGCATACTTTCCAACACTTTTTGGGGGAAGGGTCATTTTAAATAAGCTGACTAAATTATTATTTTAATAATATTTAGAATGTACAATCCAAAACAATATGAATAAAATACAATTTTATAATTGAAGATGGCCGGAAATGTCAACTCTAAGTACAAAGCAAAAAGTGACACCGAAGGCAGACACCCCCCCCCCAATTCCCCTTTTCCCACGCCACTGAGTACATTGAGTCAGTCTCTACGTTACTGTTGGCAGAGATGAAGAACATGCTACGCAAGTATTTATTTGCCAGAATTTTTATTTTGAGGACTTTGCTCTGTCACTGAATGCACAGAATTTGTCCCTGGCATCTCAATACGAAGTTGGTGGAGTTCCGTTCGTGGTTTCGCCTCCTTTATATTGAGCGTAGGCTACCGAGTTAACTGAGCAGTTTTAATTCATTAAACATTTTTAAAATTGAAAGGCATTGATCCTGATCGTTTGGAAACAAATATACAGTCATCCATGAGTTTTGTGTATTTTTTGTGCTATCCTGGCCATGCATTCTGCAAAGCACGTTTCCCATCGAAATTATAATTAATTAATCATTAGGCTGAGATTCTTCGTTTTCCATATCTTATAGGGCCACGATCAATGTATTGATAATTTTGGCTCCTATTTATTTAGAGGGGGATTCGCGATGTTTCTGTGCCTGGCAGTGGCATAGCTTGGGTTGGTGTTATCTGGTGAGGTAAACTTATGGTGTCACCCCCTCCCCCGAATTCCATGATGTATTTCTTATTGTTAAAATAAGTCCACATAATAACAATGACATGAACAGAAACAAATTAATTGAAGGCCATGAGGTAAATGTATTTAAGAACTCTAACAACGTTAACTTAAAGTTATTTTTGCATTAATTTTTTTTAAAATTTTAATTTCCTGGTCTTCAAAACTGCACTATCTCTCACCGTATCACTTTCAATTGATGGTAAAGCCAGATCAGAAAGCCCTAACTGTTCAACGGTGTATCGTAATTAATAGTTTTGATAAGCCTTAGTTTTGAAAAACTCCACTCAAAAGAGGCCACAGACACACAGATCTTAACAAACAATTGATTGAAGGCCAGGAGGTATTGTAAGAGATTCTAGGAAGTCCCATACAGCTATGAATTTCAAAGCATCAAAATACTGATCATTCCATGACTTAGTGAAATTTAATATCCCCTGCCTTTTAAGCCTTGGTGTTTCTGTTAAAAGTTTATCTTCTTATAACTCATCACAAAAAGAGGTTAATTTTGGAACGGACACTAATAACTCTACTTAGCTTGCTGATATTAGTCTCTTGGGTTGAACAGACCCAAATTTTAATATACCTGCTTCCTTGATCACTAATGATCTAATGTGGAGTTCAGAATGAAAACAATCAATACATTCCTTACTGTTTTCTTCTCGCAGAGAAAGTCCAGCATCTATTATTTGTTCTCCTGCCATTCTCGTCTTAAACCTTAATTTTCTCTCCACTGAAATTCCAAGAATTTACAAGAAAAAATGTGCTATCCAGCAACCTGTGCAGGATATCCCTCCACTTTTCTTCTCCATACCCATCACAGCAATACTTTCGCCATCAACTGTTTTGCGTAGCCTAAGTCCTGCTGTAAATGTTTTCACGTTTTCAAGGCAACAAATGTGCCCTACCGATTCCTCATGATTTTGTGATTCTGGTCTCAGTTGCGACCAATTTTCAAACCCAGTAACAAATTTGGATATTGTTTTTGTAATATTAGCATCAAACGAACTGCAGGAAAAACACTACAATGTCTGACTGACGACTGAATAAACCAGCCACGACAGCAGCACTTCTCGCCATTTGGCATCATCCTGTAGAGCCAATGCTTTTTTTTTATTTTAGCTAGTACACAACTTCTTTAGATTTGGCATCGTGCCTTGAAAATACGCAGAATGGTCCTTGTTCTGAAGCTAGGTACCCCCTATTTTAAATAATCTCAGGCTGAAATTGATATGGAACTGGTACATTCCAGAAAGAAGAATCTGATAAAATATTCAATTTTTTTTCATTAATCATCACATTTACAGTATCTTGGTTTGAATCGACATTATCAGCAACCATTTCCGTTTCCAAACCATCCACGTCTTTTACTCGTATTTCCACACCAATCTTTTCCATTTTTGGCAATATTTGCTGATCCATAGAATGCACGGTACTGGTATCGGAGGAATCAGCATGAATGGTAGGCTGAAGAACGTTCACAACGTATTTGGTATCAATTGAAAGCTTGAGTTCTCATAATTTAGATAAATATAGCTTAATGTCACTTACGAAAGTTACCAAACACTTCAATCAGCGTTGAATCATGGTCAAAAAGGTGTTTTTGTGACTTAATTATAGGGTTACCTCATTTGTAACACATCAGCCTTGAAATTTTAATGAAGTGCGCATTTGGTTTGATGACATGTATGGAAACTTTAATTGTGATCTGTTATCCTTTTATAAAATTCGGTTAGACCGAGTAATGTGTGCTCTGTAAATATGCAGTTTTTCACTTTGGTGTCACCCCTGAGATGGTGTCACCTGGTGCGGTCCCCGCATCCCCAGCTATTTTACTAGTGATTGGTATTGAAGAGGATATGTCACTGGTTGCAAGAGCTACTAAGCGAAGGTATCATAAATATTCAAAAAAAAAAAAAAAAAAAAAAAAAAAAAAAAAAAAAAAAAAAAAAAAAAAAAAAATGAGAAACTAAAATTTTTTGAAGATAAATAAATTAAAACAAAAAAAAAAAATTATTAAAAAAAAAAAAATGATTAAAAGTATCCGTCGGTACATTATATAGGATTCGGATATTTAGCTTTCCCTTCATTTTTTTTTTTAAACCAAGGGAAAGAACTCTCATCTTAACAAGATGGCGGGCACTTGTAAGTAAACAGACACACAAAAAAATTATTAAAATACAAATGATTTGACTGCAATTCATGTTGTTTATGGAGATGCTTCTGTAATTCAACACAATGTAATATTTTCTTGGTTTAATTTGAAATAGCATATGACAAGCATTATGGACTTGTTAATCATGCTGTCATGGATTAAAGACTAAAGTCTAAGCCCCTCTTGCCGTCTTAGTCTTAGTAGATACTTTGGTCAAAAATGTAAACATTTTAAAAAAATAAACTAATGGCACAGTTGAATAGAGCTAATTTTAAACATAATTATAACACCAAAATCATATTTTTAGCTGTTGTAGTTTTAAAGTTATGAATTTTTAAAGTACGACTTGGTTTGTCCTTTTTTAACATAGACTGCATCTCCACATTCTGTGACCTCATTCCGCTGATCGCGTCATGCGCAATGACTATATAGTTTATATAAGGCAACGCATTCCCTTATCACTAAAATACTGTTTAGGGTCGACTTATTTTAAACTTTCAACTTTGGCACATGAATAATTAATAAAACCTTTCCCTTACCAATGTAGATACTATGATGAAACAAGGGAGACTACTATTTTTTTTGTATCGGAAATGGGCGTCGGCGCCGAAAAATCCGAGTTTTTAATTTTCTGATGTGTGTGTCTATTTATTATTAAATTAGTTCTTTCCACATATATTTGAGTTCCGTTTCCGGCCTTATAATTTGGAAGACATCTTGGCCTACATTTCTAGCCAGCTATTTTGCTTTTTTCAATGGACCTTTATTTTGAAAATCTTTGGTATATATAAGGCATCTT